ATGATAGGAGGCATTAGGTGTCTTCCTCAGTTGTGCTCCACTTTATTTATTGAGGTAGGGTCTCTCCCTTGTTGCAATAAGCCTTTACTCCATCTGACCAAGCACCGCCACCACGTGTGCATTTTCTGCCAGGCTGCTGGAGTTCTGGCCATTGCCACGTTAAGGTCCCAAGTAACATACAGAGACTTATATTTAGGTACAAATGATGCTTGGCCAATGACTAGAATTTCTCATCTGCTAGCTCAGTCTTGATTATCAACTATACACAGAAGGACATTCCCCGTCATCTCCTCTTTTCTGCCTAAATAAAAAGCAGGGTAACTTATCTTTTATAATAACTGAAGAAAACTATAACCATAACTATCTGTCTTCAACTCCATCAAAGACCACAGAAGGATAATATATAAACTCAGGAGTTGACAGAGACATCTCACTACCTGGACACTCCCTCAATTCAGAACTCACTGACTGGGCTGATCTAGTAGCCAGTCTGCTTTAGATATCCCCAGTCTTCCCTTTATAGGAGCACTAGGATTAAAAGTGAGTTGCCACACCCAGTTTGTTGTTTGTTTATATGAGTCCGGGGATCTGAACTCCAGTCCTCATGCTTGCCCAGAAAGCGCTTTATCCACTAAGCCAGCTCCTCAGCCCCAGCCATGACCACTTCCAGCTATATGATATGGCAGAAGTGACTCTGCCAGTAGATTGGTAAGAGACAGGCAGATTCCACCCGATGACTCTGACAATACCCTCTCTTATGGAGGCCAGCCCCATGTAAGACAGCTGACTGTCTGATGACTGTCCCTCTTGGGAAGGTTCAAGCAATATGAAGAGGTCTTCAAGGATTCAAGACTGTAGCAAGAGGCTGAGGAAAGTGGAACAGCAGCTGTGTAAATAGAGGTGCTACCTCAGCCGGAGGTTCTCCTGCCTTGGATGAGTAAGTACATGGGGAAGGGAGAGTGAGACAAGCCATGCAGATGAGCCCTTCCTGATCCCCCAAAGTAAAATAGTCTCTTGGTTGAGGGAGCATTGTTCTGTAGCAAGACATATTCAGAATAGGATATGAATTAAACATACAAAAAAGGAGGACAGGGAATGGGGTATATAACCAGGAAATGGCCGGACAGACATCCTGAAAACATGAAGGCAGAAAGTTAAACTGTGTGCCCACCCCTATAACCCCCAGCAGCCCTGCTCTGCTCCCTCCCTTACCCTTCTTCTGTCTGGGGTTATAGATTGCAGATTGGCAGTCACACTCTGTGGGGTATTTTCTCATGGATCACAGGGACTGAGGAACCAATGGTCATCTTTCATTCAAGTCCCTTTATGTACCCACTGGAGATGACAAAGTCTCTCACAGCAACCCCAGGCTGCAATGCAATAATGAAACAGAAGCAAGAGATGTGTGACAAAGATCCAGCCCATGGGGCTTCCATTTCTCCTGCCTTATCTCAATCTGCACATGATAACATTCATCAAAAATGTCCACCAGAAGCTGCAGTCTGAGGTTTCTGTAGAAGAGGTGTATCCGAGGAAAGACAAAGGTAGGAGAGACACTGACAGCCCTTTCTGTCTGTGACATCCTGAGAAGCTTGACAACTAGCTGGTCAACTAGGTGTTTTGTAGAAGTTAGAAAACAGGCTCAGGTGTGCCTCCATGGGGAGACTGCTTGCGTAGCTTGCATGATGCACTGGGTTCCATCCCCAGCTTGCATGAACCAGATGTGGGGTACACACCTGTCATCCCAAACCCCAGGAAGTGGATGAAGAAGAATCAGACATTCAAGGTCATCTTTGTTTATGGGCTAGCCATGCTACATGGGTCATGTATCCAAAAATAAACAAATAAATTTAGAAGAGTCCCCATCTGGGCAAGAGATTTTTGATAAAACCTAGGAGCACTGGGGTTTGGGTTTAATAAAAGATGAGTTTGTGTATAGAATTTGCAGGCATCCCTGCAGGATATAATAGAAGGGAGTTGGGCTGCTTTCTACTTCTCTGCCTGTCCCAAAGCCATCCCTGGGGTCTGGAAAGGATTCCAGCCCATGCTTCTTCAGGACATACCTAGCAGAGCCACCCTCAGTTCTATCTTATGGAGGTGGTCACATGGTGGCAGAGCTTTAACTCTAATCCCAGAAGCAACCATAGATACAGAAGCCACACAGTCACACTCTGTGGGGTATTTTCTCATGGATCACAGGGACTGAGGAACCAATGGTCATCTTTCATTCAAGTCCCTTTATGTACCCATTGGAGATGACAAAGTCTCTCACAGCAACCCCATAGAGAGTGGCTGAGGACCCTGATAATCTTAGGCAAGGAGAGGGGAAGCTATCATTCAACTCCTCCCTTTCAGCTCACAGGAAGCCTCCTCCAAGGGAAGGGCACTCTTAGATTTACCAAGAGACATACACCAGGATTGTGTTTGAGGCAGTATCAGCTTGCACAGGAAAATAATTTTCTTGTACTTATCAGTAACAGTCATTTATGTGTTTTTCATCTCCAACAAGTAGATTCCCTGAAAGGTGACTGGCCAAGTCTTTGGGTATAGTGCAACTGTGTGCCTGTCTCTATGGACTGGGTCCTGTAGTTTGGAGCAGTGTGTAACTCTGAGCCCTCTCTGGATGGGTTTGAATGCCTCCCAGACATAACCCAGGCAAGCTACCTGACCTCTGTGAGCCTTGGTTTTTTCTTCTCTTCCTGTGTACCATTCTAACAATGCTATAGCTGTGAGGCAGACACATAGCAAAAGTGTTCAACAGTAGCATTAGCTGTGATGGCTGCCAAAAGGTTGGTGCAAGCACCATAACTCAGCCTAGGACTCAGACAGAATAGTAGTCCCAGTGTCTGGAGCTCACACTACTGCTATTTCCAGCCAGAAAAAAAGGGGTATGTTTCATATAATCGATGCCAAGTCAGGTCTCTCCAATACATCATGGTATATATACCCATCTGCCTGCATATGTGCTTGTGAACACGTGCTAATCTTTGATATCACATTTACCCATGGGTTGTATTTTAATTAGCTTTCTTATCTCTTTAATCTATCTTATTGACAATTTCTCTCTGCTACTTTTTAATCTTGAAACCTCAGAAGCAGAAATTTTGAATCTCAGCCAAACTCCTAACAACCACGTAGCTTAGGGTAGCACTGACCTCAGTCCCCTCAAGGACTATTATTAGTGAGAGACTACGGTGTAGCCAGAACCCTACTAGTTTGTACAATGCCTGCTCTGTCCAGTGTCCACTGTGGCATTTGATAGGCAGTTCCCTCAAAGCACTGCCTGGATGTGTGGGGAACAAGTCGGCTGAATAGACAAGCTACTGGTCTGTTAGGCCAGAAAATGTCTCAGCCTAGGAACTGGTTATCCAGGACTGCCGTTGATCAGCCAGTTAGAAACACATCTGAGAGTTCATTTACCCAGCCTGTGTTTCCCCATTGGATATGCAGCAGGCTCCCGAGAACAAATACCCCTCTGTAATACCCACAACACATTTCCCCTTTCCTCCATGATCAGTCTTGTCAACAGGCTTCATGCAATAAACAAGAGCTGGCCATGTTAGGATACACACAGTCTAGAAACTGAGGCAGGAGGATCATGAGTTTGAGGCTACATAGCAAGACCTCTCCCAGAAAATTGGACACCCACTTGGTTGTGCACATAAAGACTTGAGGCTGTTCATTGCTGTGGTGCTTAGAAAATACTAGATGGAAATGACCTAAATGTGCCTCGGTAGCGGAATGGCTAATAACATTCAAAAATGCAAACATTAAGCCGTTATTCAAAGGAACGAGGCAGATATTTTATTTATACATCGATCCTCGCAGTTTATAGAAGCACTTCATAGGGAGAGCACTGATAGTCATAAGAAAACATCTACGTTTATATACATGTATGGGCAATAAAGCCAGAGCTCACAAACAAAAACACCAAGTTATAGCACATTCCATGTGATGTTATGTCACGTTTCTCATCCTTGAGACCAAATGCCTGACAAGAAGCAACTCAAGGAAGGCAAAGATTCTTTTGGCTGCTTGTTTAAGAAGAGACAGGTTCCATCGTGGGGAGAGGGCATGGAGATAGGGATATGTGGCAGCTGGCTTTATTGGCTCCACCGGCAGGAAGCAGAGAGCAGACAGGAAGAGGGGTCAGGCTGTCAAGCCTCAAGCTTCCCCTTCCCCTGCCCTGTGACTACTTCCTCCACAGAAGTTCCATCTCCTAAAAGTTCCAAAGCCTTCCACCTGGGGCTCAACTGTTCTACAGGAGCTTATGGGGACATTTAGTGTCCAAACCACACCAGACACCATTTATTTTTGCAGTAATAATAGGGCCTGGAGAGATGGCTCAGTAGTTAAAAGTGCTTGCTGCCCTTCCAGAGGACAAGTTCAGTCCCCAGCACCCACATCAAGAGGCCCACAACTACCTATCCCTGAAGTTCCACTCACACATATAAAATAATTATTATTAATAATAATAATTTAAAATTTTAAAGTAACAACATATAATAACATTCTTTGAACCCATGGTATTCCCAGCAACCGTGCATGATGGGAAGATACTCTCAAGAGTCTGTAGTGTTGGTGGTGAAGGTCAAAAGGAAGAGACTGGCATTGACGGTGCTCAAAAGGACTTGAGCCTGATGTGTAACGTTTTAGTTCTTTTAATAAAATGAAGACAAAGCAAATGTAACAAAGTGTGAACAGTTGGGACTCCAGATTGCCAGTACAGGATTTCTGTTATTGTTCTTTGTGCTTTTCTGTGTTTACTTAAGATCCTAAATAAATAAATAAAAAGAAGGAGGAAGTTAACCCTCCCTGGTTAGTGTGGGATCCATTTTTTCTTTTCTGACTCCAGCTTTTTCTTTCTTTTTTTCTCTTTTCTTTCCTGGGGATGGCACATGGTAGTTATATCTAAGATTCCTGTTGCTCTGTCTAATTTAGGATTGGGCTCTACCACAGGAAGTCAAAAACTACAATTTACAAAGTTACAGGAGGAAGGGTTTTTTTTTTTTTTTTTTTTTTTGCTTAGTTTTTTTTTCTCACATGAAAGACAGCTAGAGAGTGGGGTAGGGAAGCCAACCATCACTCAGGCACTGGTGCTGCCATCTTTAGCACGTGATTCCATCCTCGAGGTTAGAATGGGCTGTGGGAACACCACATTCTTGTCAACAGGCTTCAAGAAACAAACAAGAACTGGGCATGTTAGTACACACATAAAATGCCAACAATCTAGAAACTGAGGCAGGAGGATCATGAGTTTGAGGTCAGTCTAGGCTATATCACAAGACCTTACTCAGAAGAAATGATACCAACTCAGTTATGAGCACTGAGACTAGTGCTTGGAAACTACTAGAAGGAAATAGCCTGGATGTGCCTAGATGTCCCAAGCTGTGTGCTAGACCAGAAGCACCTTCCCTTCCCCAGAGAATCTCAGCTTAGCTCTCAATGGCCAGAATGAATCACGGGACCACATAGCTGCAATGGAATATCTCACTAGTATATATTACCCAATAGCCCTGTGCCCCAGAACTGTGCTCACCTTACCTACCCCTCTCCATTCTCAGAGATAGGTGCCCTTGCCCTCAACTCTAGAGTTAAATATCTGTGCTCATGACCACTAAAAATATCTAGTTTGGGTGGGGCTGAAGAGATGACACAGTGCATAAAAGCACTTGTTGCACAAGCATGAGGACCTGAGTTTGGAACCTCAGAACCCACGTAAAACTGGGCATGGTGGGCCACAACCATAATTCCAGTGGTCCTGTGGTGAGAAGGAAGATGAAAACCAGAGAATCTCTAGGTGAAAACCAGAGAAGTTCATGAGCCAGCTAGCTGGGCACACACAGAAGTGAACAAGAGAAACTGTGTTAAAACAGAAGGAGGAATCAGTGGCTGGGGTTGCTCATGCATACATACATACATAACCACATAAACACATAACCACACTCATACACACAGATGCACCAGATACACAACACCACACACATATGTACCACACACACACACACACACACACACACACACACACACACACACACACGAATGCACTCGCACACACGGTGGGGGTAGGAAATTTTCACTCTTCCCTTCAGCATAAGCCTCCTCCTCCTCTGACTTCTGAGTTTCACCTTTCCCATTTGCTAGCAGCTCCAGCCATCTCCCTGGCCTTGGCAGTTTCCCAGCAGGCACCAGCTTAACTTCCCCTCACCTGCCTCTGCTGAAGTTGCTGACATCCAACTGCCCTGTCTTGTAAGGTTCTAAACTTTGCTAACTGTAGGGAGAGTGACTCCCAATAAAGATGCTGTCTGCCTCCACCCTTATGAGTCTTTAGAGGCGAGGTCACACCAGCCAGCCCCCTTAGGACCCTGCTATGTCATTCCTTGGAATCTCCAGTCTTGACTGCATTGAATGGTAAGATCTTGACCTACCACTACCATTTTCTCCCATCAGCAAGCAGCAGCCACCATTCCCATCAGTTCGTCTTGTATCACCTCTGTAACTCCAAAAGAAAGCTCACTCAGGTCTCCCAACCATCTATCCAAGCCAGGCACCTCCACAAGAGAAAAATGAGCATGTTTAGAATTAAGAATCAACAATCAGCCAGCAGGCAGTAGAATACCTCCCCTTACTGGATCCAGGCTACTTACTCATTGAACACAGTCACTGCCTGGCCGGCTTTAGCTTTTGCAGAGGAGATATGTATATCTAATGAGGAGTTTCGTATGCATGAATTCGCGATGATAAGATCTTTTGGATTCGGATGCGGGTGCCTCCTGCTGTCCCTCTCTGCCTGTGCATTCATTCACTCACTCGCCCTGTTCCTACTTCGTCAGAACTTCCACAGGCACAGGAATAACTAAACTTTGTCTCTTCTGCGGCCTGACAAGCAGAGCCCTGTGGTCCAACTTGAATGGGTTTCAGCCCCAGGCCTGACAGTGACCTATTATATAGCTGTGCTAAATTCTGTTTGCTCAGAACATCCCCGCCCTTGCCCATGGTGGAAGAACGGTACTTCGCCCACTGCAGGGATGGCCTGAGATGAAACGGACCCACAGGGATAAAGCACTCTTCATGCTACCCAACAGAGAGACAGAAGCATCCTCCTGTGGCTGTCCTTTCCAGTGTGCCTTCAATCAGCTTATGAAGCTGTGCTCCCTCCCGGGCCTAAGTTAGTCGGGGAAAATCATAAACCTACTTTATTCTGAGATTATTTCTGTTAGCATAAAAAAAAAAAAAACACTATACTCACCTCAAAGGAAATAAGAGTTGGTTGATTGTGGAACCAAATAAGAATTTTCATAGCTCAAGATCACAGATTCAGGTTATGCCAAAGTCCACGTTTCTGTATGGTACCGGTTTTATGATGTTCCTATAATGACAGAACAAGGAAAGTCATCAATCCAGACACGTGTTAAATGCCTTTTTCATCTAAGATAGCCAAAGACAATTTAACTCTGAACCTACATCATTGCAACCCTACAACCACCAAGGCTCTACTCAACTGGTCAACCTTGCAGAATGTTCCTCTGCTTCCTGAAAACTTCCCAAAAAGGTTTCAAGAACTCACATAGGCCGTTACACAGATCCTCAGCCGTACACATTGGTCCCACATATTCTATGTCTTTTAAGACCTAGGAGATACCCTCCACATCCCCCAACACTCCATTGTGTGGTTCCCATAGAGGGGTCCTGTCACAGGTGGCCCTTATGATGACCTATACATCATGATACCAGCATTGCCCCCATGTCCTTATCCAATCTGGTTGGACATGTATCCAGCGATGGCTCAGCCATGGCTCATTGAAACTCTAGCCCATAGTTCCACACTGTGACACTAGTGTTTGTCACCTGGCATTCTTTGACACACACACACACACACCCCACCCCACCTGCCTCAGTTGGGACACATTTGGTAACCTCTGGAGACATGTTTTCTTGTCTCAGCTTACTGAAAGTAACATTGGTATCTGGAACTCCAAAGCAAGGATCACGCCAACCATCCTACAGTAAACAAGATGCCACCCAGGGGTTCCACACCTGGAATCTGGAGAGCTGATGTTGGGAGTCTCGGATTGTACAGATGGCACTTGGTGTCATATACCTGCACTCACTTCCTGTCTTCACTCCTCCTTGAGCTTCCTCTGGGTAAAAAGAGCCTTCTGTTTTGTTGTTCTGGTCCCGTCCTGTCCGGGGGCAAGAAGCTAGCCAGCCAAACCCTGGGAGAGCCATGTTGGTGTCCTCTTGGGGGTGTCCTGGTTAGTTTTAACTGTCAACTTGGCACAATTGCAATCACTTAAAAGAGTTTCAGTGAGGTGTTGTCTGGATCAGGTGGGGCTGTGGACATGTCCAGGAAGGACTGTCTGCATTGCTAATTGAGGCGAGAAGGCCCAGCTCACCATGTAAAGTGCCATTTCACGGACTCAGCCCTGGACTGCCCAAGAGTGAAGAGAGCCAGCTGAATGGAAGCAGCCAGAAAGCAGGCATCCTGGGTGCATTCATTTCTCTCTGCTCTTGTCTGTGATTGTAATGTGACTAGCTGCTGGAGTTCAGAGCCTCAACAGCAGCGAAGCTTACCCAGGAGCAGTGCTACTGATGGGGGCAGGCTCCAGTAGGAACTAGGGCCATTCTCCAAACTTACACACTGGGGAACTCATAGGGCTGGGTAAGGGACTGTAAGCCAGGCACTGGGGAGGTGGGATATTTCCGGTCAGTCTTTGGTAAGGTTGCCAGGGAACCAGAGGAGCTGAGGTGGAGGCAGAACCACCCTCTGCCACATGTTTCAGCTAGCAGGTTGGCAAGGAGGTCAGGGCATCTGCTAAGGAGGTCAGTGGGAGGCAGAATGGCATAACTGAAGCAATAATCTCCAGGTATTTACATCTACTATCTGCAAGGCACTTGAACTGGGAACTCTTATTTACATGGTGCTTTCAACTTTTAGGAAATTGCCTGGCACATAGTATATGTTCAGTAAGTATTTCCAGGCATCTATGTGTATTTTTATCTCCATTGAGTGCGTCTGGTTGATGATCAAACCTGGGCAGCTGGCAGACACCAGCCGTCTCGCAGTCCAGGCAGCCCCAACTCTCCTCATTTGTGTGGGAAGCGTAATGGGTCATGAAATTGCGTCCGTTAGCATTCAGACAAGTATACATATATTTTGCAAACATTTCACTATATGCAGATATGGGACCCAAAGACGAAAATTTCCAGGCAGCAGCTGGAAGTATTAGTGGAAATTAGAGGGGAACATTGTTTCCATTAAGTAGTGCTGAATTTTGCAACCGAGTAACATCTTCAAGTTAATTCGGAAAACCGTCCACCTCATTAGGCAGATGAGACATCCTGTGATTTGGATTCCAAAGCAGAATAACCCCAGTGATGGATTGGGTGCCTGTTGTAATAACTTCCAGATTACAGCTCCTTCTTTAGCAAAATTGCTACCAGCAAGGTAGCTCAGCCACCTTCAGGGAGAAATCAGCTATGCTGATAAAAACCTCTGAAAAGGAAGCAGTGTGGCACTGTGATAACTGTGCACAGAGGGCTGTCCTCCGCCTTCTTGACCTCTAGGGCGTGTGCTCTTCATGCACACTTACAGAATTGGAAGAGGGATCGGGTGATGTTGGGCCCTTTTTGTGTGTGTGTGTGTGTGTGTGTGTGTGTGTGTGTGTGTAGGACAGATGTTGACATCAGTTATCATCCTCAGCTACCTCCCACCTTACTTTTTGAGCTAAGGTCTCCAGTTGTACCTGGAGCTCATCCATTTAGCTAGACAGGTGGGCCAGGGAGCCCCAGGGCTTATCCCATCTCCGTCTTCACCTACAAGGCCATACTGCAATGCCCCACTTTTTTTCACATGGGTGCTGGGGTCCAAACTCAGGCCCTCATGCACTGCAAGCCCTTGGCTGACTGAGCCATCCCCACTTCCCCAGGGTCCCAGCATTGAGTTTTCACTTCAGTCATCCCAGGTCTGAAACAGGGCACATCTATTCTCATTTTGGCCAGAGCTAGTCGCATGACCGCAAGTAGACTGCAGGGGTGTAGAGAATGCAAGGAAACTGCCCAACTCCATCTTCTCTAGCCCTCCACTGAGGACTCCAAGCTACAAGGAAATGTGACATCCTTGCTCTGGGTAGACACTTCCTTCCAGGTCAGATTTTGTAGCATTATCTAATTTTATGAAGAGTTGTACATTTTAGGGTTGTTGGGAAACAGGTGATTGAAACTCAACCTTGATGTCTTCAAGTATTTGGAAGTTATTTTTGTGGCTGTTGAAGTGGATTCAAACTTAAAATGTCAGAGCTAGATTCAATGTAATTATTTTAGCCTTTTCCTCAAGATGTCAAGATAGTTGAGTCAACTCTAGTCATCACAGCTGCATTCACAGTAGAGATAAGAGTAAGTAATGCCTACTCCATCTATTTTTTTGCATCTTGAAAGCAAAGGACTCCCTCAAGAATGATTTCTGTCCCTCCGGCTCCATGGCCAGATCTTCACTGTACATTATCTTTAATCACAGCTACCAAATGTCTAAGAAGCAGTAAGCAGTCTGCTGTCTGCTGTGCTTCCTGGTTTAAGGGGGCACAGCCCGTCGTGGCAGAGAAGGCTTGGTGGCAGGAACACCTCATGGCAGTGGCAGGGGGCATGAGAGTCTGCTGTTTGCATCTGGATACAACTGGAAGCAGAGAAAAGACAGGAATCTGGGTCAGGATATAAATCTCCAGGTCTACTCCCCAGTGATCCACTTCCTCCATCTAAATCCCACCTCCTGTAGGTTCCACAATCCCCCAAAACAGTGCCACCCGCTGGGGACCAGCTGTTTAAACTTAGGGACATTTCACATGATACATACCCACCTCTAGTTGGGAAAGAGCATGGGAAAGTTGAATGGCAATCATCTTGGGAGGAGGGACAGTGGTCAGAAATGGGTGTCAGAACAGCCAGTCTACAGCATCTACCCCAGAAACCTTTCCAATCAAGTATCTTCGTGTGGGTGAAGGTGGAGTGTTGCTCCACTCAGCTGTGCTGCCGTTGGTCCTCAGCCCCCAGGACATGAGAGATGTGGCCTGGAAAGCTTGCACTGAGAGCTCACTGCCTGTGACTAATCTCTGCTGGATCCTGGCTTTGACTGTTCTCCACGTCACTGTAATTCTAGAAGGTTTGGGGTCTCAGAGGAGCTCATAATGAATATTAGCTCATGGGTGCATTTTATTGATTTAGATCTAGAAGAGGAATTATCCTACTGCTGAGTGTCACGCTGGTTAGTGAAAAATCTAAAATAAATGAACAGAACAAGCCTCTCTCTTAACAAGCCTCTCTCTTAGTAAACTGAGAACTCAAACAGGCATGAACATGTGGATGGTCTGGCTAAGAGCTGGGGAATCGTCTGTCTGAGGCACTGTGATGTGTTTCTCTGGCACCTGGCCAGAACTCTAGCTCAGCGTGAGCACCCAGCGCACATGGCTGATGATGCCCTGCCTTGTGGATGGCTCAGTGAGTGGACAGAGGAGACCACTGATGAAGAGTTACAATTGAAACCATCTCATGATACACACCTACCCCTGTGAGAACCCCCAGCACTTCTCTCTTTAGGTCCTGTGGGCTTAGAGTACACATAGTATGTCACAATAAGGGCTTGAGTTCATTTTCACATAAGTTGAGTGTTCATAGAGGCTTACTGTGTTGAGCAGTGTGTGTGTGTGTGTCTGTGTGTGTTCTCTAACACAGGTTCCCTGATTCCACTCAAGCACTAATAAACTGAAGCCTTTAAGAGGTGCTGCTTGGAATTCTGTATTCTTTACATTTTCCCACCCAGAGAGCTATGCTTGAGAGCTAAAGGTGTCCTGGATCACCGGACTGAGAAAAGTTTTAGTCAGGTCGTAAATCTACCAAAATAGTGCCTTCTGCATGTGGGTGCATATGGGGTATCTGACATCGGGCCTAGGGTTCTTTTTCTGACACTCTGAGTAGCAGGGTCCACGCCATTTGTTTGTTCCATAAGAAAAGCCCCTGGTTAGATGAGCCTCTGGCCTTGGTCTGAAGTTGGGGCTGTTAAAAGGTTTAGGTATGCTTGAGATTTCCCCAGAAAAATCCATGCTTTCCTTAAATTATCACTCCTACAGCCAGTCCCATGTGACTGAGTAGGGGATCTAGAAATGGAACCTTCCAGAAAGCCTTCAAAGCTAGATCTGAAACTGAGCAACTCAGAAGCACTCCTGCTTTGGTCCCTCCATGCATCTTGGGAAGAACACAGGAGGGGCAGATGCTTGGGGCAGCAGGACCATAGAGCAGACAGTGTTCAGCTCTGAGGCTCACTTGACAAAGCCTTGCAGGTCCTGGAACATACGCTCTGAGATGCAGAGGCCTAGCCAGTCAAGGCTAGGGACTGTGGCAGCAGATAACTCAGTGATACCTGTGTCTCTTGCTGTAAGAAATAGACTTTGTTTTCCCTTGAGAAGGGCTGTGGGGAAAGTTTTCACTACCCCAAGGGAGCATATGATGTTGAGGTAGGATCGTGCTCTGACATCATAATAGCAAATGGTAACTGTGGCCTTTGAGCTAGGAGCCCTGTCCCTTGCTCCTTCATCTCCTGGACAGCTCCTCAAGGCCAAGTTTATCTCCATGGAGTCTGTTGCCAAGGGAAATTTCAGCTATTGCTTCTCAGACTTAGGCTTAGCTGAGAATCACCTACATGGCCTTTTATTTTGTTGGTGTGAATTTGTTGTTCATAGAGATGGGATTCATAAAGATGTGTTGAGATCACTCTTTTCTTCCTTCCCTCCCTCCCTCTTCCTCCTCCTTCCTTCCCTTTCTTCCCTTCCTCCCTTCCTTCTTTCCTTCCTTCCTCCTCTTTTCCCTTTTTCCCTCATTTTTTGTGACAGTTACACTGCATAGCCCAGGATAGCCTTGAAAATACCATGTATGCCCCCAACTTGAAGTAATCCTTTTGCCTCAGCTTCCCAAGTGCTAGGATTTCAGATATTCATTGCTAGTATGCCCAAGTTGTTTTTATTTAAAGAAAATACCACTGTCATAAAAGCATTCCATGTGTATTATAGAAATTTAGAAAAGTCAGATTGGCAAGGCTAAAACATAAAATCACCCAGAAATTACATCTAATAAGGCCTGTGTATCATTATAGATTTTTTCTTTCTTTTTTTGTTCGTTTGTTAAGTAAAGGCCTTACAACATAGCCCAAGCTAACCTCAGACTCATTGATCTCCCCTCCTTAAGTGTTGGATTACAGGTGTGCACCACCATACCTAGGCCCCTACAACTGTTTTTCTAGGCACTTTTCATGAGCATACACCTGAACACAGGGCAGACAGGCCTCCTCTTTGACATTTCTTCTCATTGGAAACATTGGGTTGTCTTAGGGCAACTTCTCCATGGACTGATACCCACAGCCCATGATCTGCTCCCAGCCAAAGATTTCTTCATCATTTCTTTTGCCAACAAGGACCAAGGGCATCCTAACTCTTTCCACACCACACACATGGCCCCTCTGTTTTCTCCTGGAGGATGTTTTTCCTCATCTCAAAAATTCAGCTTTAGCAAATCTAAACCAAGAAAAGTTGAGCTCCATCCATGCGAGGGCCCCCATCACTTTGGCCACCCACACTGCCCTTGGCTAAGGGTACAGTCAGGAGCAGGAAGAAAGACGGACAGTGTCTTGCATCCTCAGCCCAGGAGGCTGCCTGATTACTAAGTTTCCACGGTACATCCTATGAAATCTGGCTTCTCTTGCTCGACAAATGCAGTGAACAAATGCACTATGTACTGCAGATGTGCAGGTGAGTGCTGGCTGCTTCCTCCCCACTCCCTCAGGTTTCTGTGGCTTGGGCTGTACTCACTGCCTGCTGGAATCCTCTGCTCATCAGGCAATGTTCTCTGCTCCTCAGGTGTGCCTTGGAGGGGACAGCTCTTTTCAGGAGTAGATGAAGCAGGAGAGGGACCACCTCAGACCAGACTGAGGTCTCTCTCAGCACCTGTGCCAGAGGAGACAGTAGGACCACTGGAGATCTGGCTCGTCAGGCTTCTCCTGTACCTGAGCAAGCTCTTCCCTTATTCAAATCACATAACATGTGGAGTCTATGGGTGTGGCTGTGCAGGGGATGAAACACTCTGGCCAGAGAGGATTCCACTAGCCTCAGTGCCCTGGAAGATACATGTAAGTCTGTACGGCATCTGTCATTTGAGTCACACTGGGCAGACCACTTGCTCAGTGATTTTCTATCAGTCTTTTGGGTCTGAATTCAACATTTACCAACCCCTTTGTTCATAAGGGCTGGGCATTGAGTACCTGCAGCCAGGTCAAAATCTTTGATTTTTAATGTCAATCTGATTCAGGACTCTTGACTCAAATAATTATAAAGAGTTCTTGATTCTATCCACAGAAGAACAGGGCCATTCAGAATATATGGGCAGGGTACCTGGAGAGGGGGTGCAGTGGGGGAAGAGAGCTTACCACTCTTTCCAAAGACCCAAGTTTGGTTTACAGCACCCATACTGGGCAGTTCACATCTGCCTGTATACCTCCAGCTCCAGAGGATCTGATACCCTCTTCTGGCTTCCACAGGTACCTGCACATGCAACACACACACACACACACACACACACACACACACACACACATTAAACATTTCAAAATGTATAGAGGGCCATTCCTCATTGTACAAAGCCCTGTGCTAATGTCACAAAAAGTAGTGCACCCATTGCCACTCCCAATAAACATCAATAATACTGCAATTGTTGAAACAAGCAAAAACCACCTCATGTGTGTCCTAAACACCCCTGCAGACATGTTATTCTTATTTACTTTGAATGACTGAAGTTGCTTAAATTGTCATCCTGGCCTCTCTGCCTAATAGCTTCCTGGTCCTGTGCAAACCACAACCCCTTCCCAAACCATGGCTTCTTTTGCAGGATGGGTGTGGAATGTGAGTAACAGTTCCAATCTCAGAGGGTCCTTAGCTCAGGCCCTTGGAGTTAGAAGGAATAAATGAATGCGGTTATTATTCATAATTTATATATTATTTCTGATTGCCCTTAAAATTACCATGAGTAAGTACTTGAAAGCAATGAGCTAAGATTCTGAGTGCTATTTCATGGGTTTTAGAGAGCTAAATTAGATTCTAGAACCACCATTACCATGGCGATGGCTCCCCTGATAGAACACTGTAGATGCCTTATGTCATGGAGTCACAGCTAGAGCATGGCAGGTGTCCTTTCCCTGTTCAGCACTGGCCAGAGCTATGGTGGTTCTGTGCTCTGGGGCTTCACTGGGACAAGTGTATCCCAGACCAAGCTCTCGTCTGCAGCATCAACCAACCACAGGATGAACCAGACTCCCATCGGGTTCAAAGACAGAATCAGCACGCATGGAGAGTAACTTCTAGGATTCCATGCTAAATTATGTGGTGCCATGTTTAAATTATGTAGCAGATAGAGAAATGAAATAGTCCACGAAGAGAGGAATTCCTCCCAAGCTGGCCCCAGGGAGCTTTGGAGAATCTAGGTCAGCAGGGAGAATGGAGCAAAGCACAGAGCAGCAAGAGGCTCTGGGAGCAGGGTCATGGAGGGTCACACATGGGTCAGCAGCTAGGCTTGGAAGCACAGACCTGTCAGCAGCCTTTTTGAGAGGAACAGAAAGCTCCCTGCCAGACAAATGATATTAGTACTTCTTAATGCAAAACCAGAGTGTCCTCAATATCCAGACAGGGGGGGCTCCAGAGATACATGAGTATCATGTCTCCCAGAGGCAGAGCTGAGCTGTCCCAGGCTCCATGTTCGTTTCTATCCCCTGAAAAAGGAAGTGTCATGAGAAAATCATGGTTCCCACCTTCTGGGGGGAGTGTGGGAGCATGTAGCCCCCGTCAAGGGACTTTCCAAAGGACAGGCTTGCTTGTGATAATGAGTGGCTAGGGCCTTTCTGGAAATAGCATCAGAAGTCAGTCTAGATTTCCCATCATGACCCCCTGCCAGAGCCCAGTGACTAGCAAAATTCACTTCCCCCGGCAGGTCATGACTATTGGGCTACTAGTGTCTAAGCCAGTGTTGTATGCTATAGGAACAAGTTCATAAATGATTGTGGTGTTGTCTACTGAAGTCAGGGAGCAAGGATAAGCCTATACATACATGCACACTTACATTCTTTTATTCACTCAACAAACATATGTACATGGCCTCCCTCTAGTGGAGGAAAACAGAGAACCAGGCAAATGAAAACAGAGTATCAAGGGGTCAGAAGAGACATAGGGCAAAACAAGCACTAAAAATGGGTGAGTGGCAGCTGTGCCATTTTCAGTAGAGTGGCCAAGGCTAGTCTGATAAAGTTCTATTTGCACCTGGGCCTGAAAACGGTAAGGGAAGAAACCACTTGACAACTGGAAGGAAACTGTCCCAAACAGAGGGAACGGTGTGTACCAAAGTGCTGAGGCAGAGGCACATCTGATGCATTGAGCCTGCTCTAAGGGTGGCACAGTGAGACAGAATCCAGAGGTGAGTTGGAGGAAGGAGAGAACACTGATCATACCCAACTGTGTAGGCAATAGATAGAAGTAGCCCGGCATTTGTTTTCAAGGAGAGGTGAGCCAGCGAGGGTCTTGAGCCTAGGAGTCATGTGATCCAAACAGTTTCATGAGATTCTCTATCCTGTGTATGGAATGTTGACCTGGATGAGAAGAAAGTCAAGGTGGCCCGGGAAGGGACTGCTACATTCTGATCAATGTTTGGCAGGAAAGTGGCTGTGGAGGTGGCAAAAGGGCCAGGACCTGTGCAAGTTTGGAAGGAAGGACTGGATTACTGATGGAAAGTATGTGGTAGGAGGGAAAAATGGGGAATCCCAGGTCTCCATGGAGGTTCTGTCTGCTGGGACCACCCTATCTCCCCTGTGGGGTCTGATGACTAGAAGTCGCTTCCTCTTACAGCTCCTATAGGAGACCTGTCCTGGAAGGAAATGGGGTGGATGTGACAGTCATTCCAGAAGATTCTCTCACATGGAAGGTAGACCAAGGGCCTTTGCAGCTCTCCTTCCATCTGTCTCTGTTCAAAGATGGTGAATATAGACACTTGTCAGGCGAGTGTAGAGGTCCAGGGTGATCCCTGTAGGTGCACATTATGCCCCATGGTTGTGGGTTGGACATCAGTTTCCAGGTCTGCACAACAGAAATCCATTCTGAGCCTTGGGGCTGCCGAGGGGCTGATCCACACATCACCGCCCTACAAATAAGCAAAGGGAGGTGATGAGCTAGGTTTGCCAGAGGTAGCTAACCCTCCTCATGACCAAGTTTTTTGGGGGGAGGAAGCCTGAGTCCCTGTCTCTTCTGCTTGGGTAGCCTCCTTTCTGTAAACCTTTCTCTTCCCCTTGGGGACCCCACAGCCTCATCTTGAATCATGGCAGAGCCTTTGCTTTCACATCTGCGGTAGACTACCTAGGACATTGAGCACCCTGAATTCCCCAAATAGTTTTCTCAGAAAACACAATTTTCTGAGGTATTTTGAGTCCTCATGTCACCCTGTGCACTAACCCTTGTCTACCCTGTGTTACAGTGGAATTACGGAGGCTCTGCGACATCCAGGACTTGCCCAAGTCACACAGTCCCGCTGGGTGGTGGCTTCAGGTCTATGAACCCAGCTGCTTTAGTTCCAAACCCCTAGTGCCATGACTCATGCTCACCAATGGGTCCCATACTTCTAACCATGTCCCAGGATGCCCCCCCCCCAATATGGATCATCCTCCTTCCCAGGTAATCCTCTCCCTGCAGGCTGCACAGCCCAAGGCTTTTGATGATCACGATGGCATGCTGGGTACTTTGGTTACAAAAGGCTGCTGTGGTTGCCCCTCGGTCTTTCAGCTGAATCAAAGCCTGGGTGAATATCCAAATGTGTCTCTTCAACTGCCGGACCCAGTACAGGCGCAGGTGCTCTTGAATGAACTCACCCTCAGCAGGCACTGCCAGAGAATGTGGCTACAAGCAGACATTTTCTGCTCAGAGGCAACTTGAAGATCATCTAGCTGTTGATGATGCATGATACAAGTATGAGGAGGGCCGGGGGAGGGCAAGCAGGATCCATTAGACTTGGGACAGGCCAGTCTATGCTTCAGAAATTGGAGAGTGCTGGCATGGATTTAATGTTGCCCCAGAGCCAGAAGGAATGTGGCTGGCTGGAGACACATTCACAGCTTGAAACCTTGCTTACTGGTGAGATCTGAGAGGGTGTTTGGAAGGTGTTAGTAGGCCTGCGTGACACTTGGGACAGAAATGTTTGTATATGTTACCACTTCTCTCTTCTCCAATGAGTTTGTAAAACTCTGGATGGGGAGACTTCTTAAGTGGTCTTATTACTGCTGTGCTTGCTGGAGTGGGGGATCGTTTCTGGTAAACTAGAAAGCTCCAGAGAGCCCATCTAGATTCACACACCTGCCTAAAGACTCCTCTCTGTGCCCATGCCTGCTCTGTGTGCGGTTCTATAGGGAAGATGACCTAGCCACAAGCAGAGCTATCTGGTCAGTCACTCAGGACCTAGTTCTTACCTTGACTGTGAACCCTCCTCCCCAGGAGGCTTCTTCCCATCCTGACTGCTGGGCCCAAGACCTAGTACTTTACTTGGCAGGTGTCTTGATCTTGTGGAGTTGCAGTGACAATCTCTATGGGCTTGGTGACTTAGGATGACAAAAACTTAGTCTCTGTCAAATCCAGATGCTATAACCCAGATTCAGGGTGTCAGCCAATCCATTCTGACCTAGTCACAATTAGTGCTAGAAGTTCTTCAGGGTTGGGGTGGGGCCTTGGACTGCTCTGAAGAGAAAGAAATAACGTAGTTCTGCCTTTGAAACAGCACCTCTTCCGTAGACTTCTTAAAATAGATTTTACCTCACGGGATTGATTTATGATATCCATTAAGCTAGATGCACAGCTTGCCACTGGAATTAATTTTGAAGTTGCTAACCCTTAATTATTTGAAGAAGATAGAACCAAAAAATGTTGGCAGCGATTTGGAAATAGTCTTTAGATTTGGTCTGTAATGGATGTTATTTTAAACAATGGCTTTTCGTGGCCATACATAAATGATGCATCTCATATTCAAAGCTAAGGCTGCTCTGAGGCTCTCTATCCACAAAGAGATATAGAGCTGGGCTGGGGAGATGACTCCGTGAGTAAATACACTGCCTGTAAAAGCAAAAGGACCTGAGTTCAAGTCCCCAGTATCCATGTAAAAGCAAGGCATGTGGACCAGCATTGAGGGTCAGAGATAAGCAGACCCAGGGAGGTCACTGGCAGGCATCCTAGCTGAAAGGGTGAGCTCTATCTATCTATCTATATATATATATATATATATATATATATATATATATATATATAAATAACAATTGACTGTGGTGAGCATAAGCACACACCACAAGAAACATACATAACACACACACACACACACACACACACACACGAATGTGTTTTAAATGTAAAACTCAGAGATTGTACACTGTGTCCTCAGTGCCTGTGGTGTGAGTGAGTATGTGGTGCATGGCTGTGGGTGCTTCAGTTAATTCTGGATTCAGGTCCCAACTCTGTTCTTTTGTGGAGGATGGGTCTTGGTTTTCTTGCCTTTACAGTGTGGGTGATGATATTCTGCCCTGATAACCAGCGGGCTTGTTATGATAATCCCTTAGAAGCACTTCATAAACTGCCAAGTGTTTAAAACACTTTCCATAAAGACCTCATTGAGTAAGTAAAGTTCAGGCATGGAAGTCAGTCCTAAAGCCGGTTCTTAAGGAAAAAGCACGTTTGCATAGCACAGCCACTTCAGGTTCTTCCATGTTTGGGTTCACCCTTTTCTGAAAACCACTCTTCCGCCCACATCTTCTATCTGCCCTCCTTGCCACTTCATCCACTGAGGTATGAGGTTTGTATCACGCCTTTGGATCTTCACAGACATCCAAGCTAACAGGATGACTCTATGTGGAATCAGTGCTGGGTGATTTCTCAGGGAAGTTCAGAAAAGGCTAACGCTGCTGTATTCTGAGGAATCTCAACCAACCAACCCTAGACTCTGGGTTCCAGGAGAGCGGGACCTCTCACCAATATCTCTCCTTTTCTGGTACAGTCCCTGACAGCGGGTAGTTTTTAACCATGCTAAGACAGACAAACAAATAGAATTGTGCCCAACTTGTTTTAAATTGTTCTCATAGTTAACCAAAGTGAGTAAATAGAACATTAGGGGAATGAAAATAATGACTTATTAGTTTCCTGGAATTGGGTGGTGCCTGTTGTTAGCTCTGTCTTCTCGTGCAACCTTGAGAGACTGAGAAGGGAAGGTACATCCTAGCCTGGAATGCAGAAGGTTCTCTCTAGAAAGGATTTGACAGACATCTGAGAAAACTCAGGAATCTTGGGACTTTTTGGTCACAGAAGGAATGACTTGCAAATACATTTGCAGAAACATCTGCAGGCTGCCTCTGTGTCTCCCCTCAGGGATCTCCTCAGTGAAGACTGGCATTGGTGTGAGTACTGTTGTGCCTTTTGGATTCGGAAGTCCATCTGCTTTGTTAGGCATGTTTCTCATCCCCTAAGCCATTAACCCATGGGTTGGGAAGGTACCAGAGAGCCAGGTCCAGCATGGTCACCATGTAAGCTAGGAAAGGTAGCTCTGTATGCCCTGTGGGGTTCCACACAGATGGCACCTCCCACGCTAACCTAGCTCAGCAGCTCTGGGCCTGCCTGCTCATAGTGTTCAGGATGGAGAAGCCATCTCATATCTGTGTGCCAATCAACCTTTGATCATAATGGTGCTGAGGCTCAGAGAAATCCCCAAACATGGCAGGATCTACAGAACAGAACATGGAATCAAGTACAAACGGAGTCCCAGAAGTCTGCAGTCTGTCCATCTGTGCCACTTGATGTCTGTGCTATTTGTAATGGCTTGCATGGTCACTTGCACTGTGGCAAGCCTGCTGAGGTTATTCTATTCTTTGACCTTGTGTGGCTGTCACTGCTTTAATTACTACTATCAGTGAAGGTACTGATGGATGGCCTTTCTGAGAACTAGTTATGCTAAGTTCTTTACACAGATAATATAATTTAATCACCAACATTCCCATGAAAAGTTTGTAACAGTAATAATTATATTTTTACAGATTTAAAAAAAAACAACAATAGCAACAACAACAAGAAAAATGGAAATGCAGAGGGGTTAAGCAGTTTTTGCCAAGAATGAAATGAAGGGGGGAAATGAAGAGCCCAGTCTGACTCTGAGGCTCCTATCTTCATAAGGAATTCCAGAATTCAGTAGTTATCAAAGGCATGGCTTTAAAAACATGGGAAAAGACCGACTAGATGGCTCAGTGGGCAAAAGTGCTTGTGGCCAAGGCTGACAACCCTGAGTTAAATCACCAGAATCCACATGGTAGAAGGAGAGAACTGAATCCCACAAGTTGTTTCCTGACCTCCATATGTGTGCCACAGTGTATACACACACACACACACACACACACACACACACACACGTGCATGCATGCATGCATGTGCACACACACCAATCAATCAATAATTTTTTAAAAGAAAGTGAGGTAAATAGTTCTAAACTGTCAGTGGGGTTTTTTTGTTTGTTTGTTTGTTTTTTCTCTTGTGTCTTCTTACATAGATGTTAGAGACAGAATTTGCTCTTTGCTAGTGTCTGTAGGACCACTTCATATTTTGAAGGAGCATGTGCTCCTCTGCAATTCTCACAGGTCTATACTGAAAATATTGTCCCCTAACACCTTCTCCTTGTACCTCTGGGAGGTGACAACCCAGACTGCCTTAAGTCCAAGGCTTTCCGGCCAGCCCAACCCCGCTGGTCAGTCTGATGTGGTACACACTGATTCTTCTTACTAAAATGGAAATACACTACATGGGGCTGGAGATGTAGCTCATTAGGTACAGTGCTCACCCATTTGTACAAAACTCTTGGTTGGACCCCACCCTCAGCACCACGTGAGTACAATGGTACATGCCTGTCATCCTAGCTCTGGGGAGATAGAAGCAATAAGATCAGAAGTTCAAGGTCATCCTTGGCTCTTTTGTAGAGAGTGCAATGTCAGCCTGGGATACATGAGCCCCCATCTCAAATAAATGTATAGACAAGCAAGCAAACTCATACAGCCTTCTCCTCCTCACTGAACTCTGGCTCTCCTGAGAGTAGCAGTTGGCACAGTCCATGGGTGGAAAACCCAGGTCCACTGTGTAGTCTATGGCACCTCATTTTTCCAATGGATAAAAACATGAAAGATATGCCTTGTGTCACGGCAGGACACAGGAGAGCACCAGAGTGGCTTCTGACAAATCAGAAGCCAGCTGGTGGTGGGAGATATCCTCCTGTATGCTATGAGTATATGTGTTACAATAAATCTTTCCGCCACCCACTTGAGTTCCGCTCACTGCATTAGGGCCCCAAATAATACACAGAGACTTCTATTAAGTACAAATGCTGCTTGGCCAATGACTAGGATTTCTCATCTGTTAGCTCAGTCTTAATTATCATAAATCTATATATTTTATAAGACTTATCTTATTTAGGATGCCTTCCATTGGCGTCCTCATCCCGGGACCACATGGTGACTCTGGAGGAAGAGAGAAGGGGCCCACTTCCTTCTTGCCCTGGTTAATATACGAGTCTTCCTGCTGTGTCATTTCCTGCAGATCACCACTTCTTTACTACATTTCCCAGAATCCTCCTTGACTCTTAGTCCCTCCTAACTTGCTGCCTCATTGGCCAAACAGTACTTTATTCAACAATCAATAAGAAGAACATACACAGAAGTACATTCCCCATCATATATGTTTCTCTTATTGATTGATGAATAAATGCTGATTGGCCAGCAAACAAGCAGGAAGTATAGGCGGGGCTACCAGACTAGGAGAATTCTGGGAAGGGAAAGGAGAGAGGAGCCACCAGGGAGACACCAAGTTCCCACCAAGGGAGTAACATGCCAGAGCATTACGGGTAAGCCACAGCCTTGTGGCAATATGTAGTCTAATAGAAATGGGTTAATAATTAAGAGAGAGCTAGCCAGTAAGAAGCCTGAGCCATCAGCCAAGCAGTTTATAACCAATATAAGCCTCCGTGTGTTTATTTGGAATCGAAGAGCTGTAGGACCAGGTGAGACAGAAACCTCTGTCTACAAGCTGGAGTCAGAAGTTATGACCACCGTCATTAGTGACAGATTTAATTCTTGGTCTTTTCAAATTGATATCTAATGTATGTACATTTTGTGTTTATGTTCATGTATTTTTTTTATTTCCGTGTACTTTATCCCATCCCCTTTAAACATAGATATGATTAACCCTCAATTCTCCTTGCTTAGAATCCAACAATTTAAGCTTAATTTGAACCCTCATCATGAACCCCATCAGTCACCAGTCACAAACCTACCCTTCAGATATTCCTAAGGCTGACCTGAGTTCCTCTAACAACCTGATTTATAGTGTGAAGTTTACCACCCTCATTCACCTCGGAAATCCAAGGGGCAAATTGGTTACCTAGCAACCATATAAACATAACAGCTCACAGTGCAGGTTAGCCCCATTCTGCTATACTGAAATATGTCTTATGAGAATGAAAAGCTGAGGCGTACTGTGTGAGGATAACACTTTGGAGACAAGCTGCTTCTTCCACACAGATTAGCAGACAGACATTTTGTTGGCCACCGGCTGCCTCACAGTGACTCAGCATTTCCAGAATAAAGTCCTTAGTGATGAGTCCTCAAGCTGGGAGATGACTCTTACTTTTATTTTCCCAGCAGTCTTTGGGGGATGCAAACTTAGATGCTTTTAGGAGAGTAGACAGTCCCCCATGGGTCCTTTCTCAGTAGACCTGAGTGAGCAGGTCCTTTCCGAGCCATCTTGTTTGTCTCACCGACCATCTAACTTGGTAAAGAAGGGCCTAGCATGCATTTCTCTGCCAAAATGAAATCTACAGCAGCAACAGCAACAGGGTAAGTCAACTCAGCTCAAGAGGGAAGGCCAAGCAAGCAAGTGGAGATTAAATAATCTTCCTTCTGCCATGTCCCTACCATCTGGGCTACCACCAGTAGATGCCACCCACTCCTGGGGTGGGTTTTCCCAAAACACTATCAATACAATTTCTCAGATGAGGCTTCCAGCCCAGGGACCCTAGTTTGTGGCAAATGGCATTACCAACTATCACCACCTCCCAAAGATGCCTGAGTCAGCAGATTCTAAGCTGGTGTGCTGTGGGCATAGAAGGGTCCACAGGCATTCTCCCACTCCTGGCGCATCATCTCTGCATCACCTTCAGCGCCTAATGGAATGTAAATGCAATGTAGATTTTTTGCTGAACTGTGTTTAGGAAATGATGACAGAAAAGTCTGCACATGCTTGATGAGAATACCACTGTTTCTCCTAATGTTTCTGTGTGGAAATTGGTTGAACACAAGGTGCAGAGCCCATGGATGCAGAGGGCTGAAAATAGGAACATTGAACACTTCCCCTCTATTCCCAAATCTTCCTCAGCACCTTTCCTAGGAAGCCTCCAGTCATGGTGCATCCTCACAGGAGGAGTTTGATTCAGAAACATACACAGCCCTACTGTGACTTGCGCTGCCAGAGTGGAGGCCCACCTTCAGCTGACTGTACACCTGCCTCCTCCTTAGGGTTCCTCAATGCATGTGGCTCCCCTTCCTCCATAATGGCCTTGTGGTAATTCATGTCATGAATAAAATTACGTGTGTGTGTGTGTGTGTGTGTGTGTGTGTGTGTGTAATGTGTATATATATATTGTGTGTGTAATGTGTATACATTGTGTGTGTAATGTGTATACATTGCGTGTGTGTGTGTGTGTAATGTGTATATATTGTGTGTGTGTGTAATGTGTATACATTGTGTGTGTAATGTGTATACATTGCGTGTGTGTGTGTGTGTAATGTGTATATATTGTGTGTGTGTGTAATGTGTATACATTGTGTGTGTGTAATGTGTATACATTGTGTGTGTGATGTGTATACATTGTGTGTGTTTGTAATGTGTATACATTGTGTGTGTAATGTGTATACATTGCGTGTGTGTGTGTGTGTGTGTGTGTGTGTGTGTGTGTATAATGTGTACACATTGTGTGTGTGTGTTGCAGAATGTTGTTTCCATAATGCAGAAAATGTCTCAGACAGAAAATGAAGTCACCCATAACCTCAGGACCCAGATAAGCAAATTCATAGTTTTTCTCCCCTTGGGGTGTAGTGAAAGTAACAGATGTAGATGGTAAAAATGAAGATAGAGCAGGGATAATATCAACACAGTCTGAGAAGGACACGTCTCCCGTCTTCTAAAGTCCCCACTCCTCTCTCCCAGCAGTTCCCGGGAACTAATAGCCTAGGGTTTGTGCATTTTTATTTGTTTAAGGCTGGCACTCAGTGTTCTTCATAAACAGTGTTTCACTACCCATCTTTCACAGCACATCAGCGTTAGGAGCTTTTTGAAGGCAGTGGCCCTCTTCATAGGGTGTGTGTGTGTCCCTGTTTCAGTGGGAGGAGATGAGGCTTCTTTAGTTAAAACTATAAATAGACACCAAGGGCTCAGTTATTGTGGGAGGCCCGAGATGCTGGGACCTCTTGGAGCTGGGTGGAGCTGAGTGGTCTTCACACCAGCACCATCTCATTCTGTGCCTGCTGCTCCTCCAGTTACAGGGAATCACTACTAATACAGGGTGGCCCAGAAGTAGGGAAGACCATGTCCCAGGAGAGGGGTGGACCCCAATGGTGTCATCACATCCAAGCAATTCTTCCTTACTCAGCTACCCAATTCAGATAACCCCTCACAGACATACCTAGAGGCTTATGTCCTTGGGGATCCACGACCATGTGACATTGTTGGTTGGTATCACCCTTCATGGTCTCCAAAGTCTCCAAAGGAGTTTTCAATTTTTCTAACATGCTTATTCAATAGGCAATGTTGAATACCCACTGTGTGCAAAGCAGCTGTCTGGGGACAAGGACACATTGGTAAATGAAAAAAGACACAAAGTCATGCTGATGTGGTGCTCAAGTGCAAGTAGGGTCACTCAACAGGTGAAATTTGCATCCTAGAGGTTGAGGCAAGGAGGATGCAGTTGTCACCTCTAGAAATACAGCCTTCCCTTGGCCCCTTTACTTCAAATATAGGCTTATTTATTCTACCTATAGTTTTCAGTGCCTTCTATATGCATGCAGCAGGGTTGAGTCCTCCTTATAGGAAGATAAATAACCCTGGTCCCTGAACTTAAAAGATAACATACTGCCACCTAACTAGGTCAATGACAAGCTCAGCCCCCCACTTTGTCTAGCTAGCTTGCTGTGACTCTAACTCAGAGGGGGAAAAAGTTCTCTCTAATCACTGGTTCTACTACAAATAAAATGTAGTGATTCATTAATCTCCTTAGCCTTATAATTGCAAATTGAGTTTTCTCTAGAATGTACCTAAAGGAGGTAGGTGCCCATTAAACAGTTCAGGGGAGTTTTATTTAAGCCGCAAATAAAATTAGTTTACTCATTTTTAATTTAATTCCCAAGAGGCATTTTGGAAGCCTTCCCTTCTCTTTTGACCTAAAACCATTTTTTAAAATTATTGTTCTCCTAAATCGAAGCTCTTTCCAGCATGGCGCATTTAAAGTCTTAAAACTCATCTGTTTTCTTTTCTTTTTTTTTTTTTGTAATTGACTTACAAATGCATAATTGACTCACAAATGCATAATTGACTATGCATGGCATTTTAAGAGGGCAAAGTTTCCAGTTGTTTCTTGATTTCTTTTCGGGTGTTTGCTTTTGGGAGCCCACTTCCCGTGGCATTATGTCTCATTCTTCGGGGCTTCGTTCACAGAGAGCAACCACCCTGCTGGCATCTGACTGTAAGGCACCTCTTGTCCTGGCAGCCATGGCACCAGAAGATGTGGCTGGGTCAGAAACAATTTTCAGAGACCTCATTCTCAACTAAACATGGATCTGGTCATGTGCTCCCAGTATGGATTTGTGTCTTGCCCTGTGATCCAGGAGACAACATGCACATCTCTCTGGTTAGACTTAAGACAAACAAATCTCCTGAATAGCAGAGTCCCAGAGGCACTATTGACAAAATGAAACCCTATCTCTAATGTGGTGATATTTTGTGTTTTAACAGATAAAGTTTGCCTGAATATTAGAGTGCGGAGCTAATCACTAGTTAGCCATATTTGCCAGGCAGTGGTGGCACATACCTTCAGTCCTAGCACTAGGGAGGCAGGGGTAGGTGCATATCAGAGTTCAAGGCCACCCTGGGCTACACGAGATTGATCCAGTCTAAAAAAGAAATAGAGCCAGGCAGTGATGGCCCACACCTTTAATCCCAGCACTAGGGAGGGAGGTGGATACAGGAATGATATGGCTAGATAGAGAGAGGAATATAAGCCGGAAGGAGATAGGAGTTCATTGCATTCATTCTGAGGAGCAGTCAGTCTGAGGATGCAGTCTGAGGAGGCAGTCTGAGGACGAGATCACCCCTTTGGTCTGAGCATTGGTAGAAGAACTGTCTGGTGACTGGCTGCTCTGCTTCTCTGATCCTTCAGCTTTCGCCCACTGGTTGGCTGACTTTGAGTTTTTATTATTAAGACCAAAGAGAATTCATGCTACATCCTAAAACATGCCAACACTGGTTGGGTGTCTCCAGACACATACCCACACTGACTGGGTATTTCAGCATTTTTAAGAGGAACACAAAGAAATCCTGGACACCAGGAAGCACTAGAGAACAATATTAAAGGAGGGGAAGGAGGAGGAAGAGGATGAAAAGAGAAGGGGGAAGTGGCCTCCATTCATAGAACGGGTAGGAGCTAGAGTGTAGAAACACCAGCCCCATCCATGTTTGCTTGGAGGCTACAGGTGTGTTTTCCCCAAATGCTTGCTGAGCAGGGCCACCAGCTGTGCTTTTCAGGGTGGTGAGGGAGCAGAAGAGGTGCCTAGTCAAAAGTCTACAGGCAGCTGG